TTCTGATGAAGTACAGAACTCCATCACGTGGGGAGCTGAACAAAATGCTAACTTGAAAGATTTCTAGTACGCTGTACAATACAAAAAGAAACAACAAAAAGCACACTGTGCCAGAAGTTGCCTGGAATGTCGTCTTGATAGCGTCTTAATGTTAATTTACCAGCCTGTTTGCGTATTCCTCCTGGGGATGTGCTGGGAGCATTGGACCATGCCGAACTCTGGCAATCCTCAGACAGCAGAATGGCCCCTACGGGGTCAGTGCTGCCAGCAGGGGTGAAAGTGGGCCAGTACAGCGTACCAGAAGAAGTGGCTGCCGGTACCGGCCTGTATGCAGTCGACATTAAAGCTGTACAGGATAAAATTACACTGTTATGAAGGGATCATATGTAGGGGTGAGAAGGTAGTTGAGTCAAATCCTCTAATCCTATTAAATAGGATCCTGCACTTAGGACGGAAGAATCCAATGCACCGCTACAGACTAGGGGCCGAATGGCTAGGCAGCAGTTCTGCGGAAAAGGACCTAGGGGTGACAGTGGATGAGAAGCTGGATATGAGTCAGCAGTGTGCCCTTGTTGCCAAGAAGGCCAATGGCATTTTGGGATGTATAAGTAGGGGCATAGCGAGCAGATCAAGGGACGTGATCGTTCCCCTCTATTCGACATCGGTGAGGCCTCATCTGGAGTACTGTGTCCAGTTTTGGGCCCCACACTACAAGAAGGATGTGGATAAATTGGAGAGAGTCCAGCGAAGGGCAACAAAAATGATTAGGGGTCTAGAACACATGACTTATGAGGAGAGGCTGAGGGAGCTGGGATTGTTTAGTCTGCAGAAGAGAAGAATGAGGGGGGATTTGATAGCTGCTTTCAACTACCTGAAAGGGGGTTCCAAAGAGGATGGCTCTAGACTGTTCTCAATGGTAGCAGATGACAGAACGAGGAGTAATGGTCTCAAGTTGCAGTGGGGGAGGTTTAGATTGGATATTAGGAAAAACTTTTTCACTATGAGGGTGGTGAAACACTGGAATGCGTTACCTAGGGAGGTGGTAGAATCTCCTTCCTTAGAGGTTTTTAAGGTCAGGCTTGACAAAGCTCTGGCTGGGATGATTTAACTGGGAATTGGTCCTGCTTTGAGCAGGGGGTTGGACTAGATGACCTTCTGGGGTCCCTTCCAACCCTGATATTCTATGATTCTATGAAATCATTAGCTTTTCTACCAAGATTGCAAATTTTGGTTAGAGATGGACCGAACAGCTTGCTTTGTTTGCAACAGGGTTAGTTGTGTTCTGGTTTTATTTTGGGTTTTGGGCCTAAATGAATATACCTCTTAATTATTGAAGTGTGGGAGTAGGTTCTAAGTGGCATTTTCTTCACACCTCCCAAGGGCAAAACCAGGAATAGTCTCTTCCAGCAGGAGAGGTTCATGAACCATAGAATCATAGAATATCAGGGTTGGAAGGGACCCCAGAAGGTCATCTAGTCCAACCCCCTGCTCAAAGCAGGACCAATTCCCAGTTAAATCATCCCAGCCAGAGCTTTGTCAAGCCTGACCTTAAAAACCTCTAAGGAAGGAGATTCTACCACCTCCCTAGGTAACGCATTCCAATGTTTCACCACCCTCTTAGTGAAAAAGTTTTTCCTAATATCCAATCTAAACCTCCCCCACTGCAACTTGAGACCATTACTCCTCGTTCTGTCATCTGCTACCATTGAGAACAGTCTCTTTGGAACCCCCTTTCAGGTAGTTGAAAGCAGCTATCAAATCCCCCCTCATTCTTCTCTTCTGCAGGCTAAACAATCCCAGCTCCCTCAGCCTCTCCTCATAAGTCATGTGTTCCAGACCCCTAATCATTTTTGTTGCCCTTCGCTGGACTCTCTCCAATTTATCCACATCCTTCTTGTAGTGTGGGGCCCAAAACTGGACACAGTACTCCAGATGAGGCCTCACCAATGTCGAATAGAGGGGAACGATCACGTCCCTCGATCTGCTCGCTATGCCCCTACTTATACATCCCAAAATGCCATTGGCCTTCTTGGCAACAAGGGCACACTGCTGACTCATATCCAGCTTCTCGTCCACTGTCACCCCTAGGTCCTTTTCCGCAGAACTGCTGCCTAGCCATTCGGTCCCTAGTCTGTAGCTGTGCATTGGGTTCTTCCGTCCTAAGTGCAGGACCCTGCACTTATCCTTATTGAACGTCATCAGATTTCTTTTGGCCCAATCCTCCAATTTGTCTAGGTCCTTCTGTATCCTATCCCTCCCCTCCAGCGTATCTACCACTCCTCCCAGTTTAGTATCATCCGCAAATTTGCTGAGAGTGCAATCCACACCATCCTCCAGATCATTTATGAAGATATTGAACAAAACCGGCCCCAGGACCGACCCTTGGGGCACTCCACTTTATACCGGCTGCCAACTAGACATGGAGCCATTGATCACTACCCGTTGAGCCCAACAATCTAGCCAGCTTTCTACCCACCTTATAGTGCATTCATCCAGCCCATACTTCCTTAACTTGCTGACAAGAATACTGTGGGAGACCGTGTCAAAAGCTTTGCTAAAGTCAAGAAACAATACATCCACTGCTTTCCCTTCATCCACAGAACCAGTAATCTCATCATAAAAGGCGATTAGATTAGTCAGGCATGACCTTCCCTTGGTGAATCCATGCTGGCTGTTCCTGATCACTTTCCTCTCATGCAAGTGCTTCAGGATTGATTCTTTGAGGACCTGCTCCATGATTTTTCCAGGGACTGAGGTGAGGCTGACTGGCCTGTAGTTCCCAGGATCCTCCTTCTTCCCTTTTTTAAAGATTGGCACTACATTAGCCTTTTTCCAGTCATCCGGGACTTCCCCGGTTCGCCACGAGTTTTCAAAGATAGTGGCCAATGGCTCTGCAATCACAGCCGCCAATTCCTTCAGCACTCTCGGATGCAACTCGTCCGGCCCCATGGACTTGTGCACGTCCAACTTTTCTAAATAGTCCCTAACTACCTCTATCTCCACAGAGGGCTGGCCATCTCTTCCCCATTTTGTGATGCCCAGCGCAGCAGTCTGGGAGCTGACCTTGTTAGTGAAAACAGAGGCAAAAAAAGCATTGAGTACATTAGCTTTTTCCACATCCTCTGTCACTAGGTTGCCTCCCTCATTCAGTAAGGGGCCCACACTTTCCTTGGCTGCTTTCTTGTTGCCAACATACCTGAAGAAACCCTTCTTGTTACTCTTGACATCTCTGGCTAGCTGCAGCTCCAGGTGCGATTTGGCCCTCCTGATATCATTCCTACATGCCCGAGCAATATTTTTATACTCTTCCCTGGTCATATGTCCAACCTTACACTTCTTGTAAGCTTCTTTTTTATGTTTAAGATCCGCTAGGATTTCACCATTAAGCCAAGCTGGTCGCCTGCCATATTTACTATTCTTTCGACTCATCGAGATGGTTTGTCCCTGTAACCTCAACAGGGATTCCTTGAAATACAGCCAGCTCTCCTGGACTCCTTTCCCCTTCAAGTTAGTCCCCCAGGGGATCCTGGCCATCCGTTCCCTGAGGGAGTCGAAGTCTGCTTTTCTGAAGTCCAGGGTCCGTATCCTGCTGCTTACCTTTCTTCCCTGCGTCAGGATCCTGAACTCAACCAACTCATGGTCACTGCCTCCCAGATTCCCATCCACTTTTGCTTCCCCCACTAATTCTACCCGAAGGTTTCTTTCACATCCATTCACCCCATTCACATGGGCGGAGGAGGCCATGGAATCCTTTTTCCCACTGTGCCCCAGTGGGACTTGGGAGGAGAGGCTGAATCTACTATTTCCACTCTGTTTAGTCTGCAGGTGTGAGGGATTGTTTTCACTATTCATGTTGCTAGCATCATTTATTCTGTACACCAGATGTGATTAATAATCCTCAACCTCAAGCTAGCCATGGGATCCGTTTGGATTTAATCGTCAAAATTCAATCCCCTTAAAATTGGGGTCATTCAGAATTTTAGGGCCAGTTTTGTCCCACCTCTATGTATGATGGTGTTGCATTTTTAATATATTGGGCACCTGCCCAATAGAAAATAGACAGATGACAAACCCATTTCACATATTTCAGAGTAGCAGCCGTGTTAGTCTGTATCCGAAAAAAGAAAAGGAGTACTTGTGGCACCTTAGAGACTAACAAATTTATTTGAGCATAAGCTTTCGTGAGCTACAGCATCTGATGAAGTGAGCTGTAGCTCACAAAAGCTTATGTTCAGATAAATTAGTTAGTCTCTAAGGTGCCACAAGTACTCCTTTTCATTTCACGTAGTCCATCAATCAGCCATCAGTCACTTCTAATCCAAGCTGCATTTGAATCAGTTACCTAGGTATGGAAAGCTCCATAACCTATTACTAATTCCGTGAGCCAAGCGGTAGCATCTCTTTCACCCTCCTTCTCCTTAGCTTTGAGATGAGCTGAATTAACACAATCTATTGACAGGAAGTGCAGAATTTGGCAGAGTGCTTAATGCTGCAGCAGGAGAGGCAGATTAATAGCTGTAGGGAGTACAGCACACCACTGAAAATAGTTCTAGACAGCTTTCAGATGTGTGTTAACGTTCTATGTGCATAGTCCAAAAATTTAGTGCACATTTAAGAAAAAATCTCACTTCACATCCATGCACCACTGAGTTTTTATGATGTATTATATTAGTACTAAATATTATACATATTATCACCCCTAATAGTTTCTTCATAAGTGAAAACAGCACAATTCTTCTTCCCTTTGCCCCTGCTTGAATATAAGAGCTCAAGTTGTGAAAAGACAGTTATATAAATGGTTAACTCTTTAGCCCTTTTTCTATTTACTCTTGCAGTACTTGCTAGTGAGCTTCAGTTTTCTGAGAATCATTCAACTTGAGTCTTAGCACCAAATGCGTAACAGAAGCACTTAGGGATAAGCAATATTTATTACATCTAGAATTTCTTTCTTTACAGTCCTCAATTCACACTTCAGCAACAATATTCAAGATGTTTCTAACTCCGAAATGTCAGAGTTTTGTTTTCTTACAGGCAAGAAAATGATTTTTATCAGTTTTGAGGAGCATTGTCCTCTCATGGGGATCCGCTTCTTCATCAGCATTGGAACTACAGGGCTTTTACATCTTTTCCAAGTCTGAGGTTGAGTAAGAGATTCTTATATCTTTTTTTTCCCTTTTTCAATGCAGCTTGCCTTGGCATGCCTATAGCACTGCAGTCAAGTGTCTCCCCATTGTTCTGCCTTCATACCCAGAGGCAGATGCTCTGAGTTCTCCACAGATTCTTTTCCTTTTCAGGGAAACTGCTAGCTTCCTCTGTCCCACCAGCATGACCCTATCTGGAAGAGGCTCTGTCGTCACTAGAGCATGTGCACAGGGCAAGACCAGGGGTAGATCAACACGAGCAACAGTTGGAACATGCCAATCAGCATCATCAAAAGACACTGCTTCTGTGCTTAACTCCCTGCTCTGGAAGCCCCATCCCCCTCCTGAGATTGCTGCAATAACATCTGTGGGCTGCACTTCCTGACTTAGTGCCAGCTTAATAGCCAAGGTCCCACAATTGTCTCCTTGATTTTTTTTCTCCAGCACCAAAACAACTCAAATTAGTTTGATGGGGAAGAAATATGACTTGAGTAGGACAACGCAGACTGCAAAGCAGTGGGTTTATGGTGCCCTCTGTATTCTTGGTAGGGACTTACCAATCATGCTGTTTCCCTACCACACTCCCTGTAGAGAGATGTTTATGAAAGATTGTTATTTAGAGACGCTCCCTCATAAGGGACAGTGTTCTAAGTGAGGGAATTTGGAGGTAGGACCTGGAGGCAGAGGTTGGGAACACCACACGGCTGTGTGCAGCAGTTCACCTCAGAAGCTATCCAGTTTGTTTTATTAAAGTTTTATTCCTTTCTCATTCACTGGTTTATTATTTAATGACCCCAAGATGGCTACATGCTGTCAGAAGTGCTGAATGAGAAGAAAACTACAGTCATTTTGAAGATAACACCTGTGTTTGCAACTGAAAGCAGAGTCAAAGAGAGGCACCAGAGAAGCACATGGAGTACCAGGCACAGATACTTGTGCTTGTATTTGGTGAGCAGAATAGAAGTTTGACTAGCTTAAGAAGGGTGGGGGGGGCGGGGGGAGACAAAAAAAGGATGTGTTGCAACCTACATCCAGGCAATGTTGAAGAGAACTGGGAAAAAAATAGACAGAGATTTGAATTGTATTTAGTAGCCACAGGGGCAGAGGAGAAAAATGAGGAAGTGAAATCATCAATCTTTTAGCATGTTATCGGGGAGGAAACATTGGATATCTATAACAACTTTAAGTTTGAAGAAGGTGAAAACATGAAATTAAGTAAAATACTGACTGAATCTGAGCAACATTGAACGTCAAAAAGGAATGAAACCTTCGAGAGAGACAAATTTTTTACATGCAGTAGAGCAATATGAGCATATTGCATAGAGCAATATGTTACAGAATTAAGGAAACTTAGTACAACCTGTGACTTTGGTGAGTTGACAGGATCTCTGGTCAGAGATAGAATCATTTGTGGCATTAAAGACAATGTGTTAAGAGAGAGACTGCTCCATGAAGGAGACTTAACTTTAGAAAAAGATCTCCAAATATGCAGGGCAGCAGAAACTGTGAAAGCACAAGCCAAAGAGCTGAATTCACCAGAAGGGGTTATCTATGTACAAAGTACGAAAGAATACAGCCAGAATAGGTCAAATCAAAGAGTGGAGCCACCCATTGGCGTGTGCATGGGGTATGCCGGGTGTGCCCAAGCCCCCCCCCCCCCAAAAAAAGGGCGGCTGGACTGCTGGAGATGGGGGGGTGGGGGAGTCCGGGATAGGGGAGGCCCCAGCCCGGCCTCTCTTCTCCACTCCTGCTCTCCCCTGCGGGGGCAGAAGCTTGGTGGTGCTGCACGCCCTGAACTCTGTCCTGCTTCTCCGCAGCAGTTGGCAGCCAAGCTCCCGCCTCTTCCCCCAGCGTGCTGCGGTACTCACCCCTCCTCCTCTCACTCTCTCTCCCTGCCTCCGATCAGCTGTGGGCTGGGGAGAGAGAGGAGGAAATGGAGAAGAGGTGGAGGCAGTGCCTTGGGAAAGGGGGTGGAATTGGGGTATACCCCCTCCAGCCCCCTGCTGTGAACAGCTCAGGGCAGGGGGCTGGGAGCACCCCCATGACCCCAGCCCACCTCCTCAGCCATGACCCCTGCACCCTCCTCGCACACCCTGCCCTCACTCCTACACCCCCCTCACATACCCCAGCCTTCTGCCCTGACTCCTGCAGCCCCCCCCACATCCCCACCCCAACCCTGAGCACCAAACAGGGAGCTCCTGTGCCCTCCCGCCCACATATCCACCTGCACCCCTCGCACCAAATGGGAGCTGCCCCAGGTAAGCGCTCCACACCCCAATTTCCTGAGTGCCCTCCCTTATTCTAGCTCCTGGCCAGCCCCTGCACCCCAGTCCCCAGCCTGCTCCTGCACCCTAACTCCCTCCCAGACCCTGCGTCCCCAGCTCTGTACTCAGTGCACCCCGACCCTCAGCTCGGTGCGGAGAGAGACAAAGAGAATGGGCTAGAACCAGGGAGAAGGCAGGTACCCACTCTATGTTGGCAGGAGTGTGTGTGGGGGGATCCTGTTTACTCCCTCCGCAGCCCTGCTGCACTTGCAGTTTACCCCCAGCCCCTCCCTTGCTCCAGGGACCAACGCTAGCTCCCACCCCGCTGTGCTTTTGGCCCCAGCCCCTGCCTTGCTCCAGTTAGCAGGGACTAATCCTCCCCCCATGCCCCACTGTGCTCCTCTTGCCCCGGTGCCTGCCTCACTCCAGCTGGTGACCAATCCCCCACATGCCCCGCTGTGCTCTTGCCCCTGGCCCTTGCCTCACTCCAGCTGGGGACCAATCCTGCCCCCCGTCCCCACCATGCCCAGCTGTTAGGGTGGATAAAAATCAATGACTTTAAAAAAAAATGAAAAATATTGGATTTATTTAAATTGATTTTTGAGGAAAAAACATATCTAAAGATAGTTTTAATTAAATACATTATATCTCATCATGGAATAGGGATTATAAATTCTAATTCTATAATGTGAGACAATATATTAATGTAATGTTTAAGAAAAGTTTTGTAAATGAGTTCTAATAGTTCATGGATTAGGGACCCAATCTTATGGGGTTCCACAGGTTTCTGTATAGATTATTTAGGTTAATCTTTCTATCTATCCAATGGGACTCAGTGCTCAGTCTAGAAGATATAACTGCAAAACTAAGCATTTCTGATGGTATTATGTTGTATTATGCAATAAGCGCCGAATTGCATAGTATAGATGTTGTCAGAAATGTACAGAAAGCCCACATTCACTCGCAGCATGCGTCCCCACTACTGTGGCGCCGCATTACCATTGGTTCTCCCCTCCCCCTCCGACTACTATTCTAGAAAATTCTTTGACCTACATAAGCGGCCGCGTCAGGCGTTCCCAGCACAGTGTCTACAGTGTTTGTAATCTTTGTTGCGTGTACTCTACTGAAGTAGCATAACAAGCCTGTGGCTTTGTTTTAATTCAATCATATGATACCCCCTTTTAATTTTAAAATATGGTTCGGTTCATTGTTAATATAAGAAAAGGAGCAGACAAACTGAATTATAATGAATGTGCTGATAGTAGTGCAAATACCTCGGACTCCTCAATTAAGAACGTACATGAAGATAATGCCGCCACCAGTTCCAGTGCGTGCAATAAACTGAGTAATGACCAACAGAAACAGACTTTGTCTCTTAGTTCAGGTCAGTGTAGTTCCTATTCAAAGCCATCAAACGTTGCATCTGATGACTGAGTCCGTGATATTCCAAAAAATAGATTAGAACGCCAGTCTCGATTATCTAGAGGTCCTTATCAGCGTGGATTGAGAATGTTTCCTAGAAGTAAAATAGGGAATAAACAAAGAAGTTTTCAGTCCAATTGGTATGAAAAGTATAGGTGGTTAGAATGTAGCCCATCAAAGGATGCAGCATTTTGCTTTTACTGCTGTTTTGTCTCCTCTAATGGTGCAGCAAACAAGGGTCACACCGATCCAGCATTTATTGATAAGGGATTCAGAAACTGCCATAGGGCTAACAAATGTTTTAAAAACCACCAACTGCCAAAATCTCATGTGTTGAGCTGTTCTTCATGGTCAAGTTTTAATGAAGGGAAACCTATTGATGTATTGTTGGATGAGGGCAAGCAGGCTTATCTGTCTAAATAAGAAGAACAACGGTGCCATAACTGAAGTGTTATGGTGCGACTGATGGACATTGTTCTGTGTTTGGCGAAAGGTGGTAGACCATTCAGGAGTCACAATGAAAAAGCTGACAGTTTTGAGAGAGGTTTATTTCTAAATCATGTCAATATGCTCCAAAAATATGATCCCGTAATGGCAAAACATGTGCAACAATCTCCTTGAAATGCTACCTATCTGAGTAATCGCATCCAAAATGATTTAAATGTAGCCTTGCACAAGCTTGTGCAACAAAAGATTGTGTCTGTACTAAATGGAAAAATGGTCTCAATAATTGCCGACGACACTACTGACTGTGGATACCATGAACAGATGTACATTGTGGTGCGGTATTTTGACAATGAAAAACATAGTCCAGTTGAACATTTTGTGTCTGTTCCGAGACTATTAACAGTTGATGCTCAGTCTATTTTTGACCAGTTAAATGACGTCCTTGGCATTCTTAATATTGACTGGTCATCAGTGATGTCTGTCTGTTTTGATGGCGCATCTACTATGTCTGGATGTACTGTGGGAGTTCACATGAAATGTAAAGAAAGAAACAGTGAAATATTCTATGTACACTGCTATGCGCATTGTTTGAACCTTGTCTTAGAAGATGCATGCACTGCAAGTAAACAAAATAGAACTGTCTTTGATTTTTTTTTCTTGTTATTCAGACTCTTTATGCCTTCATGGAGGGGAGTCCTGTGCGACATGCAGTAATGGAGAAGTTTTCACAAGAAGTAGAATCCCAGTTGAAGACTTTGAAACACAAGATGGGCATGCAGAGCGGAAGAATGGCTGCTGTAAAACAAAACTACTCCATCATTATACAAGCTTTATAAGAGATTATCAAAACAACTCACCTTGCTGACGCTAAAATAAAAGCCAAGGGTCTTATCCATGAACTAAATTCATTCAACTTCATCTTTACCCTTCACATGATGCACCCCATTCTCCAGATGGTGGTAAAAGTGAGTAAGACTCTTCAAGCTCCAGATCTCAGCTCACTTACTGCAATGACAGGGGTGAAAAGCTTGTGTAACTCTTTAGCTGCGACAAGAAGTGGCCCAGAATATTTTCAATCTATTTTCAATGACAGTGTGAAAATGTGTGTAGAGAATGATATATCGATTCCTCCAGTTAAGAAGAGAAAAATGTCCACTCATACTGATGACGCGTTTGAATCCCAGCATCACTTTGATACAAAAGAGGAGCAGGAGAGAATAACATCATTTTATCCACTCCTAGATTCAATGATTACTGGCATTGACCAGCAATTTGAACAGGAGACTTGTAAAATTGTGACTGCAATGGGAAAACTGCTGACCTTAGACATTGGCAGGGACGATATGAAAATCATTGCCAACAAATTTAAAGTGTCCTTGGATGAGTTGGAAGCTGAAGTCGGATTGCTTTGGGGTTATGACGGATCTGTTCCTAAAGGTAGCACTACGAACACCACCAGAGAGTGGCTTGATTGGCTAAAGGAATTGGATCGGTCTTCCATGTTCCAGGCCTTTTACAAATCTATTCAATGCTTTGCAGTCTTATCTGTTACAAGCTGTTCATGTGAAAGAACCTTTTCAAAACTAGCACATGTAAAAACCAAACTAAGAAGTACAATGTCCCAACAGCTCCTCGACTCACTCATGATTTTGTACATTGAACAAGAATTGGCTTTGTCAGTTAATTACAATGATGTGATTGAGGAATTTAAGTCCATAACACCTGGTGAGTGACGTCTCATTCTCTAGGACAGGAAGATGAAGAAACCTTTATCAGTTTTGGTCAATTTGGGTTAGCTTATTATCTGGTTAAAGATACAGTCAATTTTCATTATCTTTATCTTTGTATATGCCTGGTTGTCACTACAGCAAAAATTTGGTATTTTGTGTCTCATTTTTTAAGTTTGTATTTTTTAAGTAAAGTTTAGTTGTTAATTTAAAAAACATTAAGTTTAGTTAAGTTTTAGTTTCTTTAGTTTATTTGATGAATAAAAATAAAGTCCTTTATGATTGAGTATTCAATAAATGTTCGCCTTTAAAAAATAAATAAAATTCCCTGGGTGCACACCCTAATGAAATGTGTTGCGCATGCCTATGGAGCTACTCGCTATAAAAATAACTGCGAGGGGGATGACTGGGTACAGGCGGTCATGTGGAAGATGTGGATCTCAACATGGCCCCAAACAATGTGTTGCCTTTGAGAAATGCTGTCATAAATATGGGGAAAATAATCATTTTGCAAAATGCTGCAGATCCCAAATGCAGAAAAATCAGTCAGAGGGATCTATGAGTAATCCCAGAAAATTCCAATCCATTGACAGTTCAAGTGGATTCTGGCATTTCCCGTCTGATCCTTTATCATCAATGTGCAAAGAAGAAAGTGTCAAGGAACAAGAGAACAACTCAGACGCTAATGGAAGACTAATACTGAGAAGATCAGAGTAGGACATTAAATGTCCTGAAAGACTCGTAAAGACTTGCTTAGCTGCCAGGAGAAGGGGTATTTGAGGAAAGTGAGTGGTAGACTCACTCAAGAGTGGTGTGCTGGTAATCTCTTCTCTGTAAGTAGTTGACACATTGGGTTTATGGAAATGTACTAGATGAGTTGAGAATTTAATGTATGTGTTGTTAGATAGTTGTTAACTGATTTTATATATATATGAGTTAATTTATTCCCTTATAAGAGACAGTGTTGTGAGTGTGGGAATTTGGAGGTGGGGGTTGGGAACATTGCATGGCTGTTTACAGCAGTTCACCACAGAAGCTCTCCAGTTTGTTTTATAAAAGTTTTATTCCTTTCTCATTCACTTTGTTATTTAATGAATCCCAAGATTGTTACACTCCCTATGACTTTCTTTCTCTGAAATGTCTGAGAGCTCAGCCTGAAGACAACCCCATGGCTCTCAAACTAAAGGAATACATTACCTCAACAGCTTATTTGAATCACCCCCATCAAATGCCTTAAGGGTCCAGTATATTGCTTATCCCTTGTGCCTCATTCTGGTCCCAGGAACACCTCAGTGATACTAATTTAAAATCTCAATATTCAGGTGCCACAGGTCATGGGTACTCCCCAACTCCTTAGCTAGCTCGTCATTTCCTTCCCTGTCTCCCACCATGGGATATTTTGTATCCTTGTCTCATTTCAGTTTCTTTTTCTTTGTTGATCTATTTCCCACTCTTCCTGTGTATATCTCCTTGTGTTTGTCCCCCTTCTCCTCCATCATTCTACCCATTGCCTTACTCCTTTGTTTGCCCCTTCTCTTCCCTCCGCATGGGGAGAGATAAATTCTGTGCCTCCACAGTTTTATATCTCAGCATCATCATCAGATCCCAGACAGAATCAGGAAATGCAGAAATGGAAGTGGAATGGGGAGGGCTAGAATGGGGACAATAGGTAACTTTGAGGCGAATATCTTTTAGGTTACTATCAAGATTCTGTTCAGTCTCTGTTCAAAGGATGAGATAATGTTCAGGTTGTTTAATTTATTGCACCTATCTCTAAGTGTTTTCCTTTGATTTGATTTGAATGAGTTGTTAGGATAGAAGTTTGCACTGTTAATTTTGGTTATTTTAGCTTTTTGCTGATGTTGTTTATTTGGCACAGTACTTCTGAACACAAGCTGTCTGATGTATAAAATGATGTTACGTGTAGTTAGTCCTCTATCCATTTTTACAGTCTTTATCTTATTCTGTGTGTAATATATCAATGATTTGTAGCTCTTGGTGGAAAAAAAGGAGCAATAACAGATTAGGCACTGTCACATGCATTGTGAGATTAAGATAGCCAGCTATAAAATGCAAGTTTTAACATGAGGGTTTGATGAAAGGACTGAGGTCCTGAAGCTGTAGACCTAATGAACCTTATGAAATTTATTGACAGTAGAATTCAGAGTAATAATCCAGAGAGGAAGATAATGGTTAAATACACTCAGATCGATCAGGGAATAATGGCTCCATTCCTTTTCTCTCAGCTATGAAATATACCTCTAAAGTGACCTTTGTTTTTTGTTTTTTTTCAAGGAATCATTTAAAGATTGGACAGTGATTTTATACACTTAAAGTCTGTTCCTACTGAGAGCTTTTTGAGTCTATATACTGGAAGAGATCGCAGGGATATGTTCTTTCAGGAAAACCCAGATTAAAATCTCTTGCCTGTCAGTGTCCTTGCAAATGGCAGAATTTATTAAAGGGTAAAGGTGTTTCTGTCCCTTCATGAATGAGTGAACTAAGCTCTGAATTTATGTGTCTTCTTCAATAAGGTTTCCAACTTGTGCTTTGGAAAAAGGATATCAGTAATATTGTGCAATGCTAGAATTATAGTGAAACATCTGTCTAGTTCTTTACTGAGCTAACCAAAGTGATCTCAGACTTTAATATAAACTAACTGAGTTTTAATCATCTATACTGTAGGGATCTTTCCAAACTGCATATTTATTTATGCAAATACAATTTTAAATATTTTTAAATGTGTGACAGGTTGGATCACAGAAACCCCCTTGGGGCTGCCAACTGATGTGCCAAGACTACTTCTGCCCCTGCTTTCCCTGCCCTCCCAGCTTGGGACGTCAGTGCCCTGCCCGGTTTGAGCCAGACCCGCTAGCCTGCTGCAAACCCAGACCCAGGTCTGAACCACATCCCCTAACAGCTGTAGGCTTAATTGAAAGCAGTTTAAGAAGTGTTCCTGTCCTTAACTCTCAGATGCTCAACTCCCAATGGGGTCCAAACCCCAAATAAATCTGTTTCACCCTGTATAAAGCTTATTCAGGGTAAACTCATAAATTGTTCGTTCTCTATAACACTGATTTCTCCTGCCCCCCCCAGGTATTTGCCCCCCCCGGTATTAATACATACTCTGGGTTAATTAATAAGTAAAAAGTGATTTTATTAAATACAGAAAGTAGGATTTAAGTGGTTCCAAGTAATAGCAGACAGAACAAAGTGAATTACCAAGCAAAATAAAATAGAACATGCAAGTCTGTCTAAGAAAACTGAGTACAGATAAAACCTCACCCTCAGAGGAATTCCAGTAAGCTTCCTTTTACAGACTAGTCTCCTTCTAGTCTGGGTCCAGCAATCACTCACATCCCCTATAGTTACTGTCCTTTGTTCCAGTTTCTTTCAGGTACCCTTGGGGCAGAGAGGCTATCTCTTTAGCCAGCTGAAGACAAAATGGACCTGTCTCCCACGGGCTTAAATAGACTTTCTCTTGTGGGAGGAGACCCCCTCCTCTCTCCTATGCAAAGTCCAGCTCCAAGATGGCATTTTGGAGTCACATGGGCAAGTTGTACAGGGAGACTTTGGCAAACCAGTAAAGTGCCTGAAACCACTATGGCTTATTGCTAAAAGCAGCCAAGTCAGCAGGCTGTAAATTGGCCATTCAGCACTCTCAGTTTGACCAGGGGAGGGGAGAGTTTTGGGTGCCACAGAAAGGGCAGCTTGACCCCGCATCCTTCCTGATAAGAATTGTGTTGAAGTGGCTGGTGCATACTTTTTCGAAGAGCAGGATGTGCCCCAGGAATGTCTATTGGGGCCTCTGGAAAAACCCACACCTGGTTAATCGATAATCAGAAGGAACCTCTTGCTTGACTATTGAAACTGCTTACTTAACAAGTTTTCTTTAAGGGACATGTCATTCTATTACTAATGTATAAATAAGGGGGAAAAGTTTGAGGTAGTTGGACTCTTTTTGGACTCTCCCTCTGGATACATCTTGCAGTCCCCACCGGCAGACGGAAGATTTGGCCACTGGAAGCCTGCCGCTGTGCCACTAGAGAGCCACACTCAGCTTTGGTAATTATCAAGGGTTGGGGGTGTTTTACTAACCTTTTGCGGACTTGTGTTAGTGCTTGAGACTAAGTAAAATTTAACTTTAAGTGAAAGCACTCTTGTGTTGTCCTGTTTGTGCCAGCCATCTATCGGTCGGATGGCCGTGTCTCCCCTGATTTATTTCCTGACACCAACTCGCACAGAGTAAAAGTTACCAAGAGCTTTGGGTTGAAAGAACCCCGGGTAACAAAGTCACATCTCCATGCATGACTCAGTTTTTACAGGCAGCAGCCATTGCTTACATGCTACCTTGAAGATCCTCAAGTAGACTTCTTGTGTGGATTGGAGCCTTCCAAAATCCATTGTGCATTAAGTGCTTCTTAATTGGGCACTTAACTTGCAAATTCCTTTCTAAAGAAGCTGAGCAAATGCCTTACTAAGGTTATTTAAAATCAAACAAGTATACAGCCAATATTCATAACTTCGAATACGACAATGACACATGCATACAAATAGGAAGAATAGATTCAGTAGATCATAACCTTTACAGAGATATGTTACATGGCATATGTAGTATAAAACATATTCCAGTTATGTCATATATACATTCATAAGCATATTTCCATAAAGCCTTATGGGGGGCACTGTCACAAAATGATAATGACATTTTTCTGTTGCTTAAAGACAGTTTTAGCAAATTTTCACATGTGGGTATAATATTCATGTGTGGATGATTCAACAGAAAGTTAGCATGGTCACACTGCATGCAGGACTATGTAGTAGTGAAATGGATCTCCTTTTTATTTTAAGTGGAAGGCAGGTCAGACAGCTCAGCAATGGATGGAGGTAAATGACTTGTGTTTCCATACTGCACCATTTAAAACTACAACTGACTAGAAAACTGACAGAAACCAGTGTTGGAAATCACTGTTCTGTTGAAATTGAAATGCTTCACAAAATCGTACTGATTTTGCTGAAATTTCATTTTGGAGGAAAAAGGGGGAAAAATCTGACAATGTCACAATATCCCATTTCAATGTTGTCAAAACAAAACATTTCTATTTTTCCTTTCAAAACAACCTTTTGTTTTGAATTTTTTAAAAACTTTGTATTATGTACTATAAAATAAAAAAGTCAAAATTAAAATGAAACCGTTGTCAAAACAAAACATTTTGATTGAGCCAAAATGATTTTTTCCCCCCAGAATATACTTTCTGAGAATTTAAAA